CATCGATATCCTTTTTGAAGACGAGAATATCCCAAGAAGACACATTTGATGGCTCTAGCTAATAGTTTATCTAAACCTGGAGACATATCATGAACAAAACATACGCAACCAAATACACGAGGAGAAACATGAAAGAGTGGGTCCTTTGGCAATAAAATAGAGTGTGAAACTTTATTGTTAAGAGAAGAAGATGTCATTCTGTTAATGAGAAAACATGCAGTAAGAATAGCATCTCCCCAATGATGAACGGACATATTTCCACCAAGTAATAAGGTACGAGCAGTTTCAACCAAATGTCTATTTTTTCGTTCTGCTATACCATTTTGTTGTGGTGTGTGAGGACAAGTAGACTGGTGTAAAATGCCTTGGGAGCTTAAGAGAGTGGAGAAATCAATAGAAAAGTATTCTTTGGCATTATCACTTCGTAAAACTTTGATTACTTTTCCAAATTGATTTTTGATTTCATTAAGGAAAGACTTAAAGATAGGTAATAATTCAGAACGGTCTTTCATTAGATAAATCCAAGTACACCTAGAAAACTCATCAATGAAGGTAACAAAATATCTATAGCCAAAGGATGAGACACGACTAGGACCCCAAATATCAGAATGAACAAGAGAAAAGACAGAGTCACATCTAGATTCAGAACGTTTAGGAAAAGAGGACCTAGTATGTTTCCCTAGTTGACATGATTCACATTCAAAATCTCGAAGAGTATGAAGTTCAGGAACCAATTTTTTTAATCTTGATAAGTGAGAGTGCCTTAACTGTTCGTGTAATAGTTTTGGAGACAAGGATGCAACACAAGATACAGATGATTTAGTCCCAAGATAGTATAAGCCTCCAGATTCATGTCCTTCACCAATCTGTCGACCCGTACCACATTCCTGTATAACAAAAGAGTTGGCATTAAAGGTTACTGAACAATTCAATAATTTGGTTAATTGACTTAGAGAAATGAGACTGAAGGGACATGAAGGAACAAAAAGAACAGATTTTAAGTTTAAAGATGGAGAAATGGAGACTTGACCAGTTCCTTTAGAGGCTACTTTAGATCCGTTGGCTAAGGTTATGAGATGAGGAGTTTTAGGAAATGAGAGAGAAGAGAACAAAGAGGCATTACCAGACATGTGATCAGAAGCACCTGAGTCAATAATCCATGGATTTTGACTTTCCACAGATTGTGAAATGCAAGTTGTTGATGAATTTGGGGTTGTTGATGACTGTGCTAGATTACTGGATTTCAACCTCAAATATTCCTGATATTCTTCGTGAGAGAACTTGGGTTCAACCATTTCAGATTTGGAAAACTGACAGTTTTATCAGGAAAACCGTGCAAAGAGTAGCAATTTTCCACTGTATGACCCATTCTCTTGCAATGAGTGCACTGAGGACGTCCTCTACCTCCACGTCCTCCTCTAGTACCGCGACTTCCTCTTCCACGGGTAGAAATCATAGCAGAAGATTCAACAAGTTCTTGATTATTTTTTCCTTTGAGAGTTGGAGCACGAAGCAGTCTTGTAGTCAAACTTTCAATAAAAGAAACTTCTTGTCCAGTTAAAATTTGATCTCTAACATGATCAAATTCTAAATTCATAGCTCGGAGAGTCATAACCATATAGAATTTATCCAACTTTTGCTTTATCTCCTCTAACGAATCCACCTCTAGGAACATCTTTAATTCTTCAACTGCTGATTGAGCTTCAGCAATAAAGGTCATCATATCTTTATCCACTTGCTTGAGAGAGGCTAATCGATTAGCGGAATCATAGAGGCGTTGGATATCATTTGCGAAGATATTCTGAGCTTTTTTCCAGAAAGAGTTACATGTTTTGAAGGATCTGAGAGTGTTCAAAATATTTGGTTCTACTGATTGCCACAGTAGAGCACAGAGTTGATAATCAAGCTTTTTCCATTGTTGAGTCTGATCTTCTGGTATCTTACTTCCGTCTTCTTCTAGATGATCGTGAAACCCTTGTCCAAGGAACCAAAGTTCCACTGAAGAGGACCAAGACATATAATTTTTTCCATTTAATTTCTCAGCCGTTATCGTGGGAGTTCCGGAAAAGGAGGTTGTGGGCCCTAACGACATGTTTTAAATAATGTAAATCTAAGATGGAGACAATGGAACCTGTAAGAAAGAAAACACGCAAGATAGTCGAAAGGTTACTGGAAGGTGGTCGGAAAGTCGTCGAGCGGCAGCAAAAAAAAAGGTGACTGGACGGAGGACTGACGGTTGCCGAAAAGTGACCGGAAAGTGGCCGGAAAGTGACCAAACGGTGGCCGGAAAATGGTCGGACGGTGACCGGAAAATGGTCGGACAGTGACCGGAAAATGGTCGGCCGGTGACCGGACAGGCAGAGCAGGACCAACCTGCTCTGATACCAAGTTAAGAGAGTAAAGAAAATGAAAAGAAAAATTTTAATTTTGTGGGAAACTTACTCCACTCTATGATCTCATATATATATAGGATTACAACATTTAAAACAACAATAACCAACTACTAACAACCACCAACCACCAACTACTAACTACTAACCACTAACTAATAATAATTCTAACAGAAAGTCTTATTGACAAAAGTTTTAGGCAAACAAGTCCCGTTGAGTTGAACGGTGGTACAAGTAAGGTTACTACTAAAGCTTCCGTTTGAGGAAGAAGTGTACCAATGTGAAAGAAAATCACACTTGGATTACCTAGCAGACACAAGCGACAAAACATGAGAAATACTCCATAACCATCCCATTGTATAAGGGCGAGCATGCAAAATGAGACACTTTCTCCCATGACCATTGGATCATGTGAAGATCAATGATGGAGATCTAACGAGCATAATTAAGCACAGGAATTTTGAAAAAAAAAATTGTCCCCCTTTTCCTCACACCCCACCCCCCCCCCCTATGGGACAACCAGTCACCTGTCACCATGTGTTAGTAACATGACAGGTTTGAGAACAAGTTGTTCACCTCGTCATAATCTGAATACTTAATGGCTTGAGTTTTGGGGGACATATGTACTCTTAGCATAGTCCCACTTCAAAAAAATTTGGGTTCTATCACCCAGTCAATTACATAAGTATTATAAAGTGGCAGAAAGATAAGGTAATTTTAAGTCCACCAAATCATATACCATTAATCAGGTCTATTACTGACTTGAACGTTTAAGTATATTTGGAAATATCTACTTCCAATTTCCCACTTTCATCAAAAATAGCCGAATAAACATAATATTATAAGATGAACACCACTTTATAAGGTTTAAAAACTTATATAAAATTGGTGTATGATATTGAAATTTAATAATATAAGTCAACATTGGTAACTTTATATATGAAATAAAAAATAAAATTATGGATATTTTAGTTTTATTTTATTTGAAACAAATTTAAAATCATGATTTATTTTTACCAAGTTTATTAAATTTTTACTTTTTTAGTGAGTTTTATTGCATTTTAATTTATTTAAATAAATTTTATATATAATATAGATGTTTTAAAATTATATCAAAATACAAAATTTAGATTAAGTTTAAAATTATAAAATATTTGTTATTTTTTATACTCACTAATTCAAATCCATCGACTATTAATTAAGTTGATTCAGTTTTAAATTAATTAAACACAATCCAATAAAAAATATTGTACTTAGCTAATAAAATTTTTTATTATTCCATTACCAATAATTTTGAATTAATTAAGGGACCTACAAAAATTTCAAATAGTTGAGAATTTGAAATTGATTTAACCTATAAAAGAGAAAAAAAGGCATCATGTTGGTTATAATGATTCGAGAATCGAAAAAAGTAATAAGGTGGAGGCAACTCTATTCCATAAAAAGTTTCTTGCAATTTGTGATTACAATCAAAATGATGTTAACAATTTATATAATGTGAAGTGAATATGCAAAATCACACGTAACATATGATGGTGTATTCCACATTTCCAAAGCACAAAATTCTACGCAATACCAACTTTTATACATAAAAGTTAACAAATGAATTATATAAAACCAAATTGTTTTTATTTCTTTGATGAAGGTGTCTCTATTAGTACTGTTCTTTATTGCCTTTTATCTCTTATAATTTATAATCAATAATATTTTAGTTTTAATTTTTTTAATGCATCAATAATTAAAATAACATTGTGGCATAATATAATTACTTATCATAAATATAAATATATTTTACATAAAAATTCATCACATTTTATTAGTTATTGTTTTTTTAAATCTAAATATATTTTGAGTATACATGCAAATGTTTACTGTGATAGAAAAGGTAGTGACAGTGATAATTGAATATCGAAAACTTCAGAATCATTTGGAAGGAATCACATGAGTCTTTGATTATACATGCGAATACATACACACTTATCAATCAATCAATCATCATTTATGTCTTAAGAAAATATCAACTATTGTGGTGCAGTGTAATGTAACAGGCATTGCATAAAGTAATAATTGATTTTTATATAATTAAGATTACCATATTTTTCTAGTTTTGCTTAAATTAAAAAGTAGTTTTTACATTAAAATTTTCCGCAAAAAATTGAAAGAAAAAAACGATTGGAAAATAAACATAATATTAGCGAAAATGGGGCGATTAGAAAAATAAACAAGAGAAGAATATGCAGAGAAACATTGAAAAGTAAATTATATAGATAAATATTATAGAGACAATACTATGACAGAAATTGAAATTAATTAGATTAATTAAATAAATTAAAACAATTATTAAATTATTATCTAACATAGTTTCTTAAAATTTTATATTTAAACTCTTTTTTAATCAAATGATTCATTATTTATCAATTCCATATTATTTAAACCATAATTTTATCTGACTTATTTATAATCTTTTCTATTTTTCCATGAATTCGATTCATCAAATTCTTCATCTAGTATTTCACCAGTAAGTATTTTCTCGATAAAAATGATTTATTTATTTAGAAAAAGTTTTAACAAATTTTTGTTAATTTTCAAATTTGCTTAATAAAACTCCTTTTACCTGTTCTTGTTATAGTGGTAGTGGCTACAGTTTTGGATGGGATCAAACTGAGAACCAGAATTCTCTGCTGCCTCTATAGCACCATATCCTTCGTAGCGGAAATCTGAGCCATCCACTGTATTCTCTCTCTTTCTGAATCTATTACGCACTAACCAATAAATGGTTCGGATTTGGCTACGCATTGCCTGTACACAAATAGTGCTTCAGAGGATTAGATTTATTGAACGGAGGGCACAGCTGTTAGATAGATAGAAACAGATCCCATGTCTCTCAGACCACGCAAAGGGCAATAACCGGTAACTGTCCACTTTCGCTACGCTTCACTCCACGTGCTATAGCCGGTAACTTCCCGATAAACAGATCATCCGTATAAAAGCCAAATCCCCCTTCATTTTCCTCGAGCAACTTCCAAGTTTCAACCTCATCGTCATCGTACCCACGTTCTGGTTCTTCACGGATCGTGTTGCGTTCAGATTCTGTTAGTTGTTCTCTTCCTCTCGCTCCCTTTTAATTGTTCTTATTAATCTCTGTTTCTGTTGATTCTGGAAATAGAAAATCGTTGATTATTCTGGAACCTGGTCTGTCTGATGATGATGTAGCCATGTGGGTTGTTGTTCTAGGGCTTGATTTTGATTTGGATTTTGTGGTTTGTTTCGCTTTTGGATCTCTTTGTGGGGTGTTGTTTTGTTTCGATTTCGTGCTCAGGCCTTTGGTTTTTTGTTGCGTAACTAATTGTGCATGAGTTGGTATTCGATGGAGTTCATGATCAGTTTTGGATGTGAGAATAAAAACTAATATGGAATTCGTAATTGGTGAAAGAATTTATAATTTATTTTCATGGTGTTTTTGAATTGAAGCAGAGTAAATGAAAATTAAAACTTGATTAGGTAGATGGAATTTTTGCAAGAAATTTGGGCAGGGTTTTTTTACCACTATTTAGGTAGGAAAAATTGCATTCAGATTTTTTTGTTGTTGGAAATTTGCCTCTATTTATGAAGTTGATTTAGAATTTTGGTATTGACGTGCTTGTTGCTTCAGAAGTTGAAGAATGTTACCTCCATATAAATTTACATAAAAACTCATCATTATGACCCCTTTCAACAAATGCAATTCAATTACTCTGCACATTGTTGTGTTGTGACTCTTTGAGTCTTTTTATTCCAGGTGTGATAGTTTTCTTATTTATTATATTGGTTGTTAAATTTTTTTTTTTTTTTTTTTTACATTAAATTGATCCCCCACCCTTGCATGCATTATGCTTGTTGTGCATGTATGCATTTCCATTTAAATTTAAGTTTACTATAAGTTGAATTAGAATTTGATGTCATTCTTCTTATGAAGACGAAAGATGGCAGACAATGAGGATGGAGGAGACAAGACTTCTCGTGGGAATGAATGGGAGGTTGTATCTCTCACAGCATCGACATATGCAGCTGCTCCTGGTCCAGATGAAGTTGAGATGAAGGATGATGGTAGAGAAGGTTTATTTGCACAGGATGAAGCAGAAACGTCACGTGCTTTGTTCATGTCTAGTCACTTTGTCTTTCCACCCAGTCAGCATGAAAACTTGCCTGTGGAACCTGAATATAGTGAGATTCATGATGATTTTGGAGACAAAGATGTTACCTCTGAAGAGACTGCTGAAGAAGTGACCAGACCAAGTGGGAAAACTGAAGAAAACTTGACATTGCCAGGATTGGAAGTTTCAGAAGAGTTTGAGGGAATGCGCTATTTTGATGAGAAAATCAACAGATTATCAGTTCGTGGTAAACAATTTGAGGAAGGTACAACTCTACCAGATTTTGGTTTGATTGAAAAGGAGGAGAGTATGTATGCTGCAAAATACACTTCTTTCCAAGGTGAAACAGCTATTGGTGGTGTAACAGCATATGGTGAAAGCATAGTTGAGCCTGAAACAATTGAATCGGCTGAAGGGTCCAATGTATCTCCTGATTTATCACTGTCAAAGAACTCTTCCGAAGATAATGAATACAACACTTCAGATCTTCCTTGTGGAGCTTGGTGGAAACGAAGAGCTGCCTCCTTATATGCTCATGCAAAAGAGGCAAATGCATTCTGGTCTGTTTTCATTGCTGCTACTGTGATGGGTCTAGTAATGCTTGGCCAACGCTGGCAGCAGGAAAGAGCTTTACAACTTAAATGGCAAATCAATATAAATGATGAGGTATATCAATTATCATCATTAGTTCTTAGAAACATTTTATGTTATAATCTTTTAGTGAATAAATGGTCAGAAAATACATGTATCGATAAATGGTGTAAGGTTGTCCAAACTCATAATTCACAAGCAAGTCTTTACTCTAATGCGTTATACTTATACATAACATGCTTGATTCAGTTCTTTAGTCTCCTTTGTCATTGATTATACATTTCGAGTAATGCACAATGTACTCCTCTTTAACTGTTATTATAACACCAATTTGTCATTGACACTGAACAAAATCTGATAGTGGGTATACAATGATGAATCATAACGAAGTTTTTTTTGATAGTTAAAGTTTATAGATGGAAATTTTGAAATTGAGCAAAATATTTGTTCAAAATCAAAATAGTATAGAAACAAAACATCGGATCATGGGTCATTGTCCGTCCACGCCATTACATTGCGATGTCCAACCCTTACAAAATATCTTGGCTGGTCAATATCTTATGTATTTAATATACTTACCAAAGTAGCTTTCCTCTTTCTTATCCCGCAACATGTTTCGAACTGCACCTTCTATCCAAAAGAATCAATATTAATCTACTCCGCTGCCATGTTTGTTTAACATCTCTACCTGCCCATCTATTTAGTCCAGCTGTTGGAACACATATGATGGCCTTGGTATCTTTGTTAGGCCAAATGAACATGTGTGCTGATATTTATACATGAATGAGCTTAATTTCACTCGAATTTAAGAATGTTATTCTTAATTTTTCACGCACATAATGTTATAAGTTATTGTTCTTATGTGAAACATTAGTAGTGGTAGAATTTTTGAAAAATTATATCTTTGATTTTCCCTATTCTGTAGAAAACCATAAATCTTACTACAGATTGAAGAGAATTTTTGTTAACTTGAGGTCATACTACAACAGCAGAAAGAGTGCCATGAACTCTTTTGGTGGAACTCTCTAGCAGCTCTGTTTAATTTTTTTTATTACTTAAAAATACTAACATTCCAATCTTAACGCATCCACAGGTGAGGAGCAGGGTGCTTACTCCAATATTTCGACTCAAAGATGTGATTGTTGGTGGACACCGTCGTGGCTCCATGGTCAGGGGAAGCACCCCTAGTGAAAGTTATAGAACTTGAGGAAAAGGTGGCTAAGTGCACGTGGCTCTTACCCTTGTGGTAAAAGTGGAGATGATGACGAAAAATTGTATGTCTGAGATAGGTTGAGAATGAAAAGTGTTTCATTTGTGAAATTCAGGTTTGGTACTAGGATTGGTTGACCTTTCTTCTTATGAATGTCAATGTTCAAACATTATATGCTGTGAATTTTCTTCATCTTTATATTGACTATCATTGTATAGTTGTTGAAGTTATTCAACTTGATAAAGTTATGTATTCTCATTATGTGAAATTGGCAGTTTAAACATGAAAGATGTAAATGAAGTGATTGCTTTAATGGTGAGTATTTAGTTTTCCTTTGACTATGAAGGCTAGTGTGTGCTTATGAATTGATGGATATCGTTTAATAAGGCATGACACACATGAAAACAACTACACTTGTGGTGAAGTGTTTCCTATGTGAAATTTAGATTATGTTGTGTGTGTGGTTTGGATCTTTTATTCTTTCAAAATGCTTTTAAGGGTCAACATCGGTTCGGTTCAAATGGCAAAGGTTAAATGGACTTGTGATTAAGGGCCTGCATTAACGGCACATCGATCTCATGCCTCTTATTTTCTTGCAAAATTTGTGATTGAACTTGTTCATATGATTCACGAGTCACTTCTTAAACGCATTAGTAACTGGCTAAAAAAAAAAAAAAACAGAAGTTGAACTTCTCACTTCTATTCACCAAATTAATATTAATTTCTTGATAAACATTTGACCTCTTCTCACTTTCACTTTCTCAAATTAACATTCCTTGTCATCTTTCTCTCGTTCACGTTACCCATTCCTCAATTTGAGTTCATACCTATTGTGCTACTTTCTTTCATATTGTGCTTGGAGTTCTTAACGTACTCTTTTTTGTTTTTACCTTTTTTAATAAACTTACTTTCTTACAATTAAATTTAGATTAATTTAGTATTCTCAATTGACTGTATTTTAGTGATATCTTAGAAATTCTATATCTATCATGGATATGGTCACAGATTAAAATGTGAAATTAAAAAATTCACACTTTTCAACTAATCTTATTGAATTGAATTAAAATTTAAATATAAATTATAAGACCATTTAGAGTCTAATCTAATCATTGAACTATTGTTGGATTAATCAAGTCATGTTATTAAATGGTCACTAGATGATCCTTCAGAGTTGTAAATTATTCATGTTCAGTGATGTAAATACAAGTAACCTATATAACATATGATTGTGGGTTTCAGCCCAACGAAATTTGTGTCGGTCACTTCATATGGATTTGTCATGTCGAAACTACGAAGGTCACTCCCATTAAAGCTTTATTGAACAAAATTGACGTACTTTATACTTCTTTTCAATTATTCATGCTCTTTTGGTATTTGAAAATTGTCATCTTATTTTATACTACTTTTGATACTAATCATCATGCTGTAGGTCTATTTAGTTTAGCCTAAATAAATAATAACTTAGTGTTTATGATGATATATTATGCAAGGGAAAGATAAACAAAAAAATGTAAAACCAAAACAGTTTGGAGGTAAAATAGTTCAGAAAAGGGATAAAATGCATAAAATTACAACAGTAATATATATATATATATATATATATATGTATATCTAATTATTTTATAATGAATAAAATAGTATTATGAAAAATAATTCAATTTTTAATTTCAAAGTTTTAGAGTGTTGTTTAGATAAAAATGAAAATATTATTTTCATTTAAAATGTTATCATTTACATTCTAAAATTAGGATGCAAATATATATATATATATAGGAGTATTTCAAAATATAAATATATAAAATTTCATTAACAAATATTTTATTTTATTAAATATTTTTGTTAAAAAATCCATCTTGCCTATTATTTCGTTTTAAAACGATATAATGTTATTTCAAACTTAATGTACGAGAACAAAAAGAAAAAAATTAGGAACCGACACAGAAAACTTAAGTCTCTTCTTTTCGCGGGTCGTGTCGATTGGTTTTGGCGCCATCACTTAGAGTTGCAACCCAAACCCACACTTAAAATAGACTTTGCCTTCTCTCTTCTCTTCATTCATTTCATCAATAAGGTAACTTCTCTCTCTTTCTTTCTCTCTCTAACTCCTCTCTCCATTCTCCACGTCTCCTGCCTCTAATGCTGAAATACAGATTGTGCTGCATCTCGTACTTCTTAAGTTTTGCTATTGCTTTTCAATTTGTGTATTTTCGGTTCTTTTTATTTTCTCCACTGGGATGTGAAATGCCAACTTCTTTTTTTTGTTTGGGGTGATCAACAATGAAAAGAGCAGTTTCCTCTAAGTGGGTCTGAAAAACTAGGAATTGGAGTGACTCCAATCCTTGTGCTTGCAATTACCCTTCAATGGAATGATGTCCAATTTATCAAATGTGAAGTATTGTTGGAAAATTATGCATTATTTATTACTTGGCTTCTCAACCATTAATTGCTTTGAATTAGTTGTACTTTGTCTTCTGGGTTTTCCTCTGTCTAAACTTGGTTGTTGTGCTGGTACACAACGGTTTCATTATGATATAATAATAATAATTTGATTTTTTAATTATCTATTTGAGTTGTTTTGTGGAACAAAGTATGGGGATGAGTCTGTTCCTCTTTAGATTATTCGCCCACACTATGATATAGGGTTTCTTTAAGATTATCACATTTGTAATTATTTGGAAAATTTCTCTCACTATTTTCTATATAAAATGGGAATCCTTTAGGTGAAGAATTATGTGATCCAGTCTTGTTGGATCAACTTAATGTCATTTACACACTGTAATTTCCGTTTTTGTTTTAGATAGATATCACTGAAATCATTGATATTAAGATTTATTCTTGAAAGGAAACTTCTATTTCACACTATAATTTTGTTTATTGTCTGACATTAATCAATGCTTTATATGAATACAAGTGTGTAGTGAATATGGTCAAGTTTTTTAATGTTTACTTGATTGTTCATTGGATTGGATAATGTACTCATGTTGGATTTTTCCATTCTGATATTGAGTTGGGTTTTGGGTCACCATTGTATTGTTGGTATAATCTGTTCTACAACCAACAATCGGCATTCATACTTATTGCTTTATCCTTTGTGTTAATTTCTAATCGATGAATTCTTCATTGATCAGAAGTTAACGATCCTCAGCAGTTACTACGACAATGGATAAAGACAAAACCTCACAACTCCCAAGAAGAACGACCAGGTCCTCAACTTCATCTCCCACATCCACTTCAAATAATGTAATTGCACCAAAAGTAAATAGTCTTGAACCTCTAACAATCAACGATCTTTTAGTTGGAGGAGACCCAATCAGTCTAGATGACATAATTTCTGACTTTCCTGGTAGAAGAAGCCAGATTCTTGAGATTGTGCGTCTTTTGGGACCTTTGAATTCACCAATGCTTCCATTGTTCGTATATGGAGGTTCTTCTACTGGAAAAACCAGTATTATTCTTCAATTGTTCAGGCATCTCAACAGGCCTCTCATTTATTCTAGTTGTAGGACATGTTATAACCAGGGTATCTTGTTTGAATCTATTCTAAATCAGTTATTTCTCCATAGAAAGAATGCTGCCAATGCTTATGCAAATGCAAAACGCTGTGAAAGACCATCTGATTTTGTCAACTTTCTTCGGGAAGCATTGACTAATGTCATAATTAATCTTAAGGAGAAGTCAGAGAAGTTAGTCTCAAATAAGATGACACAAGGGAAAATTGGAAACATGATCTATTTGATGTTTGACAATTTTCATCTTGTTAGGGAGTGGGATAAGAGTTCTACTATAGTGCCCTTGCTGTTTAATCTCTATGATATGCTAAAGATGCCTGAAGTGGGTCTGATTTTTATAAGCAGTACTTCCCCAGACACATTTTACTCTAACATGGGCTATGTAGAGCCTATCCCCATTTACTTTCCTGATTATACAGAAGGTGATATTCGTCAAATATTATTGAGAAACCAAGTGAACCCGAAGCTATATTCCTCATTTCTTGAGTAACATACTTTATCCTTATATCTCGTTCAATTTTTTATACTTTACATGGTCTCATATAGTGAAGAGTTTTATGTATTTTCTTGCAGTGTAGCTCTGAAGTCTTTTTATGGAATTACTAAGCAGGTTGGTGATTTGTCTGCTGCCTTAAAGCCACTATATGAAAAATATTGCGAACCTTTAAGTGATAAGGGAAAAGGAGTTGCTCCTAATCAAGAGATGAGGCGAAGGCTGCTTGCTCATATCAACCCTCATATTGGCCCCGCTTTGAATGAGATATTTAAGGTTTCATCTCCTTCTTCAATTGAAGTGGAGACCCGTAAAGAGGAAAAGCGGAAGGGAAATCCCGGGAGATTGGAGCAATGTGAAGAATTAGGCAGTCTTGATTTTCATATGTCTACTAGTGCAAAGTATCTTCTGATTTCAGCATTTCTTGCCTCCAGAAACCCAGCTACTCTTGATGCTTCACTTTTTGATTCCAAAGGTGGTTCTGATAATCGAAAGCGGAAGAGGAAGTAAGTATCATGATTTAATACCAAATGTCTTGTTCTGACTACGAAGTTGCATGATTTAACACTCTTCATTATTGTGAAAGAAGCCTTTTTCTGACCTTATTCCCTGTACTTAATTTCCTTGTCACTATTGTCTTTGTAGGAATTAGAATCTAACTATTGTATGATTAGATGTTTTTCTTTTGTGGGGTGATGTTAAAAGATAGCTTCAGTGTATTTTTATTTTGTTTCATTTCCTCATTGAGCACTGCTTATTTATTTTTGTTTTCTGAATTGTGTTTTTTCATGTTTAGGCCTTCTGAGAAATCGATGGAACGGAAGGAAACTTTAGAAGAGGAGCTACTAATGAAAGGACCGGGAACTTTCCCGTTGGAGAGGTTATTAGCCATCTTTCAGTGCCTTGTATCAGTCGCAGAAGATGAAGAGGAACCAAACAATGATGGATTTGGAGTTGAAGGTGGCAATGGTGGTCTGATGTCCGACGTTCTTTTGCAACTGTCTAGTCTCTGCAATGCTAATTTTATATTCAAAGGTAGAAGCTGTCCAATTGAGGGCTCAACCCGGTATCGATCAACCATATCCGAAGACCTGGCTTTGAAGGTGACATCTATGTCTCACATTACTCTACCTCAAAATTCTTTGGTATTGTTTATGCAAAGAGATTCAATAAATACATAAGCTACAAACAAAAAGTAATGCTTTCAATTTTGTTAAGCAGGTTGCAAGGAGCCTTAAGTTCCCATTATCGAAGTATTTGTATAGAAGTTAGTAATCTTTGACATCAACTTTTCACAAAGCTGAGAGATCAATATTTTTCTCTGATAGATCTGCCAAATGCATGCAACCTCTACTGTCATCAACATGAAACGGATGGAATCACCTAAGAATGCTTCAAGTCAAACCAATGGTATAGAACGGACAATTGTGACCACGGCATTTCATGGATGTTTAATGTGGGGGAATAGATGCTGGTTTTATGTTGTGTTGTAGATCTTCACTTACATTTTTATTTTAAGTTGAGCACACCTTAACATAGGAAAAAATGTAGATGTACCTTAATCTTTGGAATCAATATTTAACGTTGGCATCTTTAAAGTTGGCTGAGTATTGTAAAATTTATCGCGGGATAATTCATGTCTGTTTCTATATGCATGACATTGAAAGCTGTGCACGTGTTGAAGCAGTATCGGGAAACCAATTAGTGAATCATGAAATGAACCCTCCTTTACTGATAAAATCAAACTAATTAAATTAAAAATCAGTCAAATCGCGGCTCAATTAAATCGGTTCAAATCACAGAAAATTGGTGCATATGGTTTCATACACAAGTTCCCTGCATAAGACAAGAGGATTTTTACCATATAAACTTCCTCACGTAAGAGTAATTTTTACCACCATTATAGCAATGGTGAACTATATTGTTGACAGTTTTATTAATAATTCCCGTCCTCTGAATTGTTTATATTCGTATGTATCTACTGCTGATGTGTCTAAAATGCTCATGGATGTTATGCACATGGATTTATGTTATATGATTCGTAATTTGATTTCATCATATGGTTAATTTGTCATTTTATAAATTATATACAGGATAATACTTGGTAAAATATTTAAGACTCATTAAAAAGAATTTAAGACTCACAACAAAACTTGGTAATTTTCAATCAATTGGAAAGAGCTATTCAAAATAGAATGCTCCTGACTTAATTATCACCAATTTCATTGCAAACTCAATTATAACTAGTTCAATAAATCATGAATTTGAATTTTTATTAGGTCAGTGGCCGGTTAATTTTTTAAACATTGATAAAATGAAAAGGTTAAAGATACAGATTTTCTTTATGGAGAGATATAATAAAATAGTTGAATAATTTAATTTCCATCTAGGTGTCATGAGGTGGTGTTCTCAAATAACATAACATGTATATTGAACTTGTGTATGCTTAGATGAGGTTTTACACGAGGAAACAGCCCACTAACTTTCTATATAGAAAGTACTTGAGTTCTTGGAACAAAGGCCGGGGGCCCCAGTAAAGTGAGTTTATTAATGAGTTTGGCTACAAAGTAAGCAAGTAAAAATGTATCTAATATTGACTTAATTTAAAGTGTATATTGTAAGCTTATCTTACCAAAATATAAGGGTAGATACACCTTTACTTACTCATCTTAGAAACAAACTCACTTTAGAGGAGTGTTATTGTGGAAAAGGTACAAAATTAATCCAAGATTTCTTGGAGACACTTTCGTGATAAAGGCCATGGTTTATGGTGAAAACTTCCATGGTGTATCTTTTTTTTCTACTTTTTGAGGAGTTTTAATCTTCCAAGACATTTTTGGTAATCTGATTAGTGTTCCATCTGTTTCTATATTTCCATGGCTATAAAGGCTAACTTTCCTTGACATGTAATCTTCAATCAAGAACTTTCTCCCCGGTTGAAAAGATATTCCACACCAATGTGCCTATTATGTACAATGCAACAGCAACCTTAAAAACATCATTCCAAGAACCTGCAATAAAAGATCACATATGTTTGAAAACCAAGAAAAAAAGGTTGCAAAAAAAAAAAAAACGGTCAACTTCACAAGAACTGTCAGACCTCGCTGGAGTATTAAACCAGTTGCAGCTGTACCAAAGACACCAGCAAGCACTCCTGCCGTATTCGATAGTCCAAGCAATACACCCTGAAATTGAAACTCGTGAATAATATGATAGAGATATATTGTGATGTATGACTTTATTGATGTATGAGTATCAAGAAGAATAAGTGAAGTGAAGTGTATTGTAGTATTTAATCTTTTTTGGTAAGATTGTTTCGGTGATCTGCAATATTCCTTTTTGTCGGTTGCAGTCATGTAATTTAGGAAAGCAAATACTCACTGCATAGCGGGGTCCAATGTCTTGGTGATTGGAATAGAGACCAGATTGTGAGAATGCATCAGATCCCTGTCAGGAAAAATATCAGATTATGGTTAAATTAAGGTGATTCTCCATATATTTAGAACATATGGAAACTTGTTGTACAGGTAACAGTGCTTCAAAAAATAAAGGAAGCTCAAACCTGACTACACGCCATGCACAATACAGCCATAGCAGGTGTTCTGACGTGGCTCAGCTGTGAAAGAAAAAAGGCAGGACCCAGAAACCCTATTGTTTGCATGATCTGCAAACTCAAAGTATTAAAAGCAGAATTACTTTGAAGAGTTCGATGAAAGCAAATTATTTCCTTCTACTTAGCACCGAAATGAATGGATGACTCTACTATTTTTTAAGAAAAAGACTTTCTATTAAGAACCTCATTTATGTAGCAGTTGGCCATGCACGACAAAATTCTACTACAAGAGAAATGATTTTCTTGCCTTTCGAACATTTGTTATGGAGAGGCCTTTTCTCACAAGTGTATCAGCAATCCACCCACCAATATTTGCAAAAGCAGCCATGGTTAACCATGGAAGAACACATAAGAGCCCTGATTCGGTGAGATTGAACTTCAGAACCTGAGAAAATTATCCATTAGTCTATTCATTCGTTGGCCTAAATGGGGAAATGTAATATACTATTACTACGTACTATGAGTTCATTGTAAAGATACATGCAACTATAGAAAGTGATGTTAAATTTGTCAAAAATAGGTTAGTACCTGATTATAATAAGTAGGCATCCAGGTTAAAAGAATAAAAGTCCCCCAATTGTGACAGAAATGAGAGATTATAAGAGCCCAAACAGGTGCTTTTGATAAAATTAATTTCCAAGGAATAGAAGAAACAGGTGCATTTGATACATTGCCTTCTAGTATGAACCTTTTCTCCTCTACCCCAAGATCAGGGTCATCTTTTGGGGAGCTATATGCCTGGTAGAGCCCAACAGAGAGGAAATGAAATGAGTCAACAGGCTAAGCAGGAACTAAAGAGTACCCCCTCCCATTTAGAATTTTCATGCACAATGATAAGGTGTTTTTTCCACCTAAATAGAATTTCAGAGATATTTTTGTGCAAGAAAGTGGGTCTACTCTTATATCCAGTTAATGGATCATTATTCTTGAAAATAAACTTGCATAATGATGAAATTGAAATCATACACTATGAAACACCTTTTAGACTGTTCCTAAATTATGGGTTGTCAGCGGGAATATACTTTGTTCCTCCTCTCAAACATTTTTTCCATTGGGAAAAGATATATTCAGTAGATTTCATTGAAATTAAGTGAAACTGACTTACCTTTCTTAACCACAAGGCAAACCAGATACTTCCAAGGGATCCGAAAGAGTAAAAAACTGATGGCCACCCAAATTTTTGGATTAGCAACGGTGAGAATGCCAAGCCAACCACAGAACCAAGGTACATGCCACTATATACTAGGGCAAGTGATCTACTTCTCTCTGAAACTGGAATCCACTTGGAAAGCATATTATTCATAGCAGGCATGGCAACACCCTGAAAATGAAGAATTAGCGTAGTGGGGTCCGATAGTACCAAGATTCATGTCTATATGTTGCATAGATTTTCAGCATGAGATTATTCACATAAGAAATTATCATCAATTTGTTTGTATTATTTGACACATGGATTGCTTAGGTTTGGATGGCAGAGGTTATATACTATGAAGGTATGATTGTCTATCTTGGTAGCGTTGGTGCATCACTTTCCCTGTCTGTTTTAAAAGAGAATAAAGTTCATGCTTTGAGGTTAGTTTTCTAACTTTTTCTTCCTGCTTACACGATAGAAAGTTGCAAGCAATCTTATCGATGGAATGTTCATACTAAAGCTTGTTAGAGCCTAAACAGGTGACACTCTAAATTTTGATTAGACGCAAAGCATTAAGACTCATAAATTTTTACAGAAAGCTTATATGTTTATCAAGTGCGTAAAATCCTCTCAAGTATTGCTATAAAGTGTCTGATAAATCAAAGACTGACATTTGTACATCCTAGTATTTTACCACGATGAAACATATGATATCCAAAGAGTCTTAGTAGATTATTAAGAAGTTACAAAACTCCCTTACCTGTTCGGCGCTTTTGAAACTTGTAAATAGGAAGGGAACAAACTTTATTCTGATTCTCACTTTAATGATTTACAGCATATAAATAGAAAAGATATAATAACAGCCTATTTCTAAAATCTCAAAATTTCAGGAAATGATTTCATCCTAATTAATTCTCCTCTTAATTCTAGGTATTTTATTTCCTATCATAATCTGAATTCAACACCAGAAATCTTAATTTACTTACAAAACTTATATTTTGTCTTCATAAAAATATTTGAAAAAGGGAGAAGAACTCAAATGAACCCTCCTTTTTTGTATTTTTCTTTTCATTTATCTTTTTCTAAAGCTGATAATTGGTTTTGCAGAAGAATCTATGGCTGGATAAGTGACAATATGAACTTGGTTTCCATAACTAGGTTGATGAAACCATGGAAGTAGAATAGATGTATGATAGACCAACCTCACCAATCCCCATAAATGCACGCATAATAAGCAAACATGGCAGCCCAATTCTTGCAGCAATAGGTGTTAAAATTGTTGCCATTGACCACCAGACAACTCCAAAACCTAGCACTAGCTTCCCACCAAGTTTGTCTGCCCATATGCCACCAAGGATCTAAACCAGAAAAACAAAAAATCATTACATAAATGTCAGTAAACAACTATAAAAGACAGTTAAAGATCAGAATTGCTAGCCCATGTTCTCTTAAGAAACATAAAAAATTTATGGCAAGCTCACCTAGAAGCGGTACTCTATTGCATACTAGAAGATATAAATATGAGATCAATTTGTTGTTTAAAATAACATGTTCAGGGTAGTTGGTATAACAATCACACCTGAGTAAGAAGGTAGCCCCAGAAAAAAGATGACTGAATTAGGCCAACTGTTGCACTGTTCCAGTTAAATTCTTGTGACATTGGAAGTATTGCTATGCTCATATTTACCTGTAAATTATAAGGGACAAGTAAAAAATGAGAAAAAACATCAGTAATTCATATTAAAAATACAACTATCAAGAATAGGAAGATTAAAAAACACAACTAAATATTAAATTATTGATATAATTGAAAAGATTTGCACCCACTCATGTTACTGCCATGACAATATGATGTTACATGAAACTGAGACACAAAATTACAGTAGGACCTACCATTATTTATGCGGGATCTATTGAATTTTATTTTATCTTTCTCATAACATTAAATTGACTTATTAATAAGTAATAAGAGAGGATCCGAATTCTAGTTTAAAGAAAAACCATAATAACAACTTCAGCACGAAAAAGTAGTACAATATTGGAGATAGTAGAGATCCTGTAATGCCAACCCAATGAAATATGAAGGAATGAATATAATGGGAATGTGAGACATGATAAACATGAATATATAGTAATATAGATTGTGTGAACATGAAAAGAAGACACTCACACGGTCCATGTTGCACAGCAGAAATGCTGCAAAACATAGCAATACAATAACCCAGCGCTTAGGAAACTGTTGCCACCAAGAAGATACTTGCGGAACATTCCCTTCCACGAGAATGGCTTCACCTGTCCCTTCAGTTGATGCAAGAGGATTCACCTCCGATTCTGTAATATCATACTCCTCAGACTTGTAGTGAACACGAGCTGGATTCACCTTGTTTAAACCTAGTCCATATACTGCTCTTTGTTGAACAAGGCTCCTGCTATAGGGATCTGAAGCGAGGTAGCATTGACATCTTCTGGTGGCCTTAAGTTTCATGTTCATGCAGTGAATGGATTTCTGGGACATTGGAGAACAATGTTGCACTTCATCATGAAATGTTGGTATTGGTTTTGAAACTTTCTCATTCAAAGGTTCTCTAGCATGAAAACGCAATCCATGCCACCATCTTGAGAAAGGATCCTTTGCAACCTGGCCACCATAACGTGCAACACAAACACAAGAAATGCCCCCTCTTTGAGGTGATAGATCCTTTCCCAATTGATATACATTTCCTGCCCATATCAAACAGTTGCTAAACTTTGTTCATACACAACGATCTACATGAAGCAAGCTTAGACGGTTTCAAGAGAATCAAAATCAAACCTAGTTCATACACAATCTCAAACTCACCATAATTTCCATGTATTGCTAAATAATATGTAATTCTCTCATCAAAGTAAACCACAAAAAAAGTTATCCATGCTTTTCTCCATACAGGATATGTAAATATAAGTTCTGGTAACTATTGTGCGTCGAATAACATAAAAAAATTCTTGGTTGTCGAATGTTTTCTCCCTTGGTGAACTAACTAATCGAGTGGGGCGGGCGTGCATTAGAAGAGTTTATCATCTACCAAGTTTAATCATTGAGAAACACAAAACTATCTCTGAACATTCAAAAGTTTCGTATCTAGAAACAGCTAGAATTTTAACAAAAGCCACTCTAGCAATTGTTGGCACAGAACATAAAAAAAATCATCATCATTCCATGAGTTCCCCCTCCCACCTGCTATTAGAAGATTGTAGGAAAATGTATTTTGAACAATAAAATCTTCAATATCTAAATCAAACGTTTGGATTTACCATCTACACCTGAAACAATAAACATTTACTTGCCACTAAAATACAACCCTGAAGAGTAGACTGATTCTATACTAAATTACTTTCAACGGCACCAAAGATAATAACAATAATGATAAAGTAAAGGCAAACACATTCTCTCGCAACAGTAAGATTGAAAGAAAAATGAATACAGCAAGTGATAATTTAGTCCATAAGAATAAGAATAATTGAGTAAAAAAGAAAATATAGGAAAAAAAAAAATAGAACTAGTAGAGTGAAAGCTAATCACGGTTGAGGAAGAAAAACCTGGTCCTATGAAAGAAGTGAAGTTTCTGTTGGAAACCAAACCACCCAGAGCCATTGGTAATGCAAGTGAGGAGCTATGAAAGCGAGAATTGAAAGGTGAGAAGAAAGGTTTTACACCATCTCACAGCACAAAAACATAAATCAAACTCAACAAAATGATGTCATGCCATCCATGGATACTGGAAATCTCACCCTCTATGATGCTCAGGTATTGGATAAGCAAAACATGTAACAGAACCTCTTTTGCAAACATTAAAAACTAAAAAAATAAAAAAATTCTTATCCTTTTGTTCATAGAATCATAATAACAATTTTTCATGAAATTTAGATAATTTTTTGGGATTTTTTTTTTAATTTTTGTTAACATTAGAATGTGAAATTCCAGTTGCATTTTAAGCAAGAGAAAGGAGGGCGGAGAGCTTGACACGTGTCACGTCATCCTTGCAAATAATGGCTAAACAGGTGAAATTATTCATATACCCCTCTTGGTCAGTGCGTTTTGGGGCGGGTAAGACTATATATAATCGGAGATGAAATGAGGGTTACTATGGGAATATTAAAATTGATATCTGTCCCTGCCGGAAAAGTTCAGGATAATATATTATTATTATTTATTTAAAGATTTTCGTAAATTTTTGTTTTCAATATTTCAAATATTCTGAGTGGTGTTATTTTCTGAGGTTCATGCGTGGAATATTGTGGTTTAGAAACGTGGCTGCTAAACGAACGTTAAAAGTGTTTGTGGTTTTCTTTGGGAACATGTGTTTCTCGAAAGAAGAAGTTCATTAAGATAAATAAAAAAGATGAATTAGAATTATTTGTATACTATTATTTAAATTACTATTGTGAAATATTTATAACTTATTAAAATATTTTCTTAGTTCTATTAATTTTAATTATTATTATTATTTTCATAAAATTAAGATATAATGTAATATTTATAAAAAACATTACATCAAAGTTTACGAACAACTACTTACAAATTCCCAACAACTTGCATAATGAAACATTCGGAATCTGCCAATGGTTTATCTTTTTGCGTTGGAATCCTAAAAACTAGGATAAAATATATTGTTTTATGACATAAACGATGAATTTTCATCTTTAACATACTAAAAAGGTTGTTGATTGATTATATTTTTAATTGAATAACTGTTTTAAAATATATTAAGTTAATTAAAATTTATTATTATTTGTTTATTGACCAACTAATAATGATGATGCAATATTTACATGAAATGTTTAAATAAAAAACATAAGAATAGTATTTTGTACGTGCATAATTGATTAGGTTGAAAAGAGTAGTCCCACACTGAAAGAGTTTAGTATTAAGCAAATGTTTATAAAGCGATGTGTAAAGAATTTGGTCACGACCTTACTTGAACAGGATCTGTTCTATAGGTTCGTACCTCTCTATCCTTCAGTTCAAAGGAGACAGGAACCAATAACTGGTTGATGAACTATGACCCTGTGATCAGAGCGTGATTAACGGTACGATATTCTCCTCTTTCGGGTGGAGGCATACCTTGGCTGTAAAAGATCGTTCTCAGCCATTTAATGGCCTGGGATGGTCACGGGTGTTATCTGACAGACCACACATTTTTAGCAATTTCTTCATCAAACTTGAAAATAAGAGTCCCATGTAATTATTTTCTTATTTTTAAATATCAATCTATTAAAAATCACTAATCAATATGACGTTTTATTTATTTTGTTCATAACAATCTTGAAAAACCCTAAGAGGTTCAACTTGTGTGGACTCATTTTAGAAGAAGAGTCGATAAAGTAATCAAACTCCAAGGATACAGTATAAAAATGAAAATTTTCATTTTTAAAATCTGAAAAGACATTTGGCCTGAAAGTATGTTAATTATTTGATAAGTTAGCTCAAAACTTATATGCTATAATTTAGAATCTGAAAAATCGAAAACTTAAAGACTAATTGATTAAATTTAAAATGTTTGATGAAATTAGTGAGTAAGATAGTTCATAAAACTTTTTTAGTGACTCCCCTCCATGCCTCATCTCATAGAAAACATCAACCTGAATCTATTTAAAAAATCAATTTAATTATTATTTGAGGTAAAATAAGATATCAATTAAAAAAAGAAAGAAGATGATAACTCCATTTAGTTTACTTTCATAAATTAGATTTACAAATAAGTTAGAAGTTAAGTAAAATAAAATTCTGTATAAAAAATATTGTTTTGATCATATGTAGCTTAATTATCCATATTCAGTTTTTGACACTTTCTTTCTGCAGAATCAGTTTCAATGAATCTCAAAACCAGATCTCATTGGTCGACCCAACTCTTTGAGGTTAATAATGCAAAGCCCACAACCCAATTTAAGAAGACAAAAAGTTTTCAGCTCTATACGGCGTCGTTTAATGTCTATTCCTCTTCCTGAAAATATTGTCTCTCAACAATGAGAAAAAAAAAAAAAACTCTTCATTTCCAATTTTTCATGTCAAACCAACTTTTCTTACTTTTTTTTTTTTCATCGAAATCAAAATCTCTTTCTCTCTCTTCCATTCTATCTATCCATTTCTGTCCATCGCCGACAACCGCCAATTCCCTCCATTTCAAAGCAAACCCCTTTCTTCTTTCTCTTCTCAGGTACTCAATCCCCTCTTCTTCTTCTTCCTCTTCTTCTTCTCTCTCGCTCTCTCTCCAACACATGGATTGCCTAGCTCTATTTGAATGGGTGAAAACGTTTCCCATTTTCTCTTTGCCACATCTTAGTGCCTTTCCGACATTAGCACGTGGTAAAAAATCGTGGGTCATCTTCAAAATGTGTTTTTTTGTGACCCCACATAACCTTTATATGTTGCTGTTTTTGTTGGGTAATGTTTTTTTGCTAGCTGGGAATGATGTTGTAAGCAAAGATGGTGCTAGTGATTGTTGTTTTGCAATGGAAATGACAAAGTTTATGTTGTTTTTTTAACTCTGCAATGACTTCTACTGGGAAGGGGTGATTGTAGTGTTATGGGGGAGTGCTTTTGGTTTACTTCTTGAGTGTCTGTTTTTATATGAGAATTAATGTAATTATCGTGGAGGGTGCTGAGTGAAAAATGAAAGTTTGGTGCTTGTGTACGAATGGTTAAGTTTTTTAGAAGAAGGTAAAATAAAATGTTTACTTGTGAATGTAAGTCTATGTAGAATTTGTCAACAAGAGTAAAGTAATGATTAGATGAATTTAGGGTAGTTTGCTAGAGTAGTCTAAAATTCATACATAATAAGTTTCTTTAGTGGTGCTAGAGGGTGCATTAGGTATTTGTAATTTCTGGAAATGTATATATGAAGACGCTGTTTGATATTTGAAAGGACTATAAACTATTTTTTATTATAAAACTAAGAAAGTTACAACGATATCTCAGGCACAAACAACACAACTTATAATGCAATAGTTGATCAATTGTTCAAAAAGACCTAAATGAAAATTGGGCTGTTTTTGCTTCAATCATGATAGTTATTTGCATGCACCTATTGATGAAGCAAAAACTATGGGCATAAACTCTTTATATAGATATAGATTTGAATAGCAATAAATGCATCTTTCCCTCTGCGTGTGTGTGTGTGAGTTACTTTGGAGAATTTACCATTTTTGGCACTTTATCACGGTCAACATTTAGTGTATACACACAAACGTAACATATTATCATCCTTAATTTTTAACAAGTATATGTTTGCTCGCTGTTCATTTCTTTAATGACATTTTCTGCTCATAGTGAGTTTTTTGTTCTGTTCTTTACAGCAGTGGCTTTAAACTTGAAAGGTGCTGAAGTATTCTCCATTCTTCTCTTTGCGAGTTTACATCTGTTTTGCAAATGCTTTCACGGACCATTCATTTGAGAGATGTTGCTGGAGTATCTTAATCCTGATTGCAGAATTCCGATGATATGGGGATGCATTATCTGGCTGTCAGGAGTAGAAGTTTAAATTTGTACCTCGGCTAATATTGCTTGTATCACAAAGGAACTTTCATCAATAGAATTTTCTTTTCAAATTGGTTTAAGATGGCAGAAATTGATATGGCAGTTATTAAACCTGAGGTATGCTACATTTTTTGTATAGAAGTTTTTTCTTTTTTTTTTTTTTTTCTTAATCTATATAGTTCAGAGGTTAACGTTTTATTTAAAGTTGTATTGCTTTGGGAGTATTTTCTTGATCTCATTTTTATTTGGTAGTCATGCTGAATTGTTCTTTTAATCTTTATTAATAAAGAGGGTGCATTCTATTGTATATGTTTCAGTACTTTATTAGTGGTAATCTTCGTAAATATATTTGAATTTCTCAATTTATTAGCTGTGAACCATACATTATATTCTTACGATGTTTATTGTTTTTCCCCTCAGAAGTTGTTGAGATTTTAGACAAGAATATGAAGTATCTTTAGTTTTGCCTCTTAAAAGGATGGGTTTAAAGAAACTGGTATTACCCTGGATTAGTGTTCCTGTATGTCAGTACTAGTATGATTTAAGTTCAATGTGTTGATTATTTTCATGGAACTCAGTATCATTAATGTTATAATTAACGAATTAGTACTCTATTTAGATTATTATTTCAGTGTTAAATAAACAAAAAGCTTGTTTATCTCCCTTCTTTCCTAATTCCTCATAGATCCTTTATTTTAAATAAACAATTTCAGATGATGAAGCCTTATATCTGGCTTGAGACATCAGATGGTTCAATCCAGCAAGTTGAACAAGAAATTGCAATGTATTGTCCTCTAATTTGTCAAGAAATAATACAAAAAGGGATGGGATCTTCCAAGAATTGTGCAATATGTCTCCCTCAACGAGTCAGTCCTTCAACATTGAGCTTAATTCTTGATTATTGTCGTTTCCATCAAGTACCAGGTCGCTCAAACAAGGTTCTACTACCTGTTCTACCTCTCTCTTTAATACTTTTTCATTGCCATTATTAAAGATAATTTAGGACTGAACAACAATACTATCAAGATGATCTTACTTGGGGGTTATTCTTTGTATAGGAACGGAAGTCTTATGATGAGAGATTCATTAGGATGGACACAAAGCGGCTCTGTGAGTTGACATCTGCTGCAGACAGCCTTCAATTGAAGCCATTGGTTGATCTTACAAGTCGGGCACTTGCTCGGATAATCGAAGGAAAATCTCCAGAGGAGATACGGGAAATATTTCATCTGCCTGATGATCTAACTGAGGTGTCTGGTGCTTGTGAGAACACTGTATGCCAATTATGTCTTTGTTCTTCTTTAATTCTTTTTTTTTTCACACCTGCTTCGGATCCAGGAAGAGAAGTTGGAGCCCTTAAAAAACACAACTGATGACCCAAGGATCAGGCTTTTGAATAGACTGTATGCCAAAAAGAGGAAAGAACTAAAAGAGCGGGAGAGGTTGAAGGTAGAAGTGTTGTTTCTTTATTTATTATATTATATACAGTATATGCACCTTGTACAATACAGTCCTTATTCCTTAATTAGATATTCCTAATTAAATTGAACTTTTGCTGCAAAGCAATGTTGTCTTGCATATCTTGTCTGTCCTAAATTTTAGATTGTTGAATTTAATAAGAGTTGGTCCGTTGCTTGTTTCAGAATGTTGAAGTTGAAGAAGAGCATGTAGATAAACGTTCAGTTGATGATCTTTTGTCTTTTATTAATGGAAATGATGAAGGTGAAACAATTTATCCCTGTTTTTTGTTGAGTTTACTTCCTGCTTCTTTCTGTAGATTGGTGAAATATATACCGGTTTTGACCACATGAAATTATTTTGTGAAACCTACATGATGAACATAGTGGTTGGTATGGTTGCAATTAGAGGAAGATATTAATGACAATGACCAATATGAGAACTATACAATTGATGATTGGTCCTAACATGTGTATGGCATCATCATTGAACCTAATATGCCATTATGTCTGCATATAGCATGGTTCTTGATAGTTTTTGTTACTCATGTCTTGTAGCTTTTCTTTTATTTTCTGGGTTGATTCCTTTGAATGCCTAATTAATGATGAAGAATTTTGTTACAGATCCAAAAGGCATTAAAACTTCTAAGAATAAAAAGAAAAATAGAAGGAAAAAAGAGCAACAACAGAAGAACTCTTCTCTGAAAGAAACTTCTGAAGTGAATAAGGTTGTTGTAAATATTCTGTTTTGTTTTTTTATTTTCAATGAAAAAATTCAATAATTTATCACGTTAATTATAAGTGCTGCTTTTTGTATCCGATGATAGGAAGTAAATGGTCAAAATATTAGACACCCAAATTCTGAAGCTGATAGAATTGCTGAGACCTCAATTTCAAATACAGAAGATGTTTTTGCTCATAAAGAGTTTGATGATGGAGATATAGATGATGGGATTGATCCTGCACTTAAGGAAAAAATTGACAGGTGACTCTACATTCCTAGTACATGTTTGGAAATACCTTTTTGGGTGAAATAATCATTTTCTTTAAACTCTCTCAGGAAGTTGTGATTAGAAAAGAACAATTGTTCCTCCAAATAGGCTTGAAAGAAATGCGCACTAATTATGTTTTTACTATTTGTTTCTAAAATCAAATTTTTATTGTGGATGGATATCATTATCATTAGCATAGTTGCAGTGGCAGATCACTAGTTTTTCTTATCATTGGTGATCTGTAGCATTGCAGAATTTTTTTGTGTGGAGTGTAGCATATGCAGAGGACAAGGCATCAGAATGATTGAACTGTATCCTTCTACAAATTGTACTTTTTGAATCATCTATTGCTGGTTGAATTTGTGGCATAAAGTGTTTGTATTAATCAGCTGGAGATATGACAATGTCAATTTGTTGGACTTTACAACTTTTATGTTTTTGATCTTTGTTGATTTTTGGAGGAGAATGATGAATTTAGTAATATTTTGCATCCTATATCAATCTAGCGATTAGTTTTTCATTATCATGAATATTGTAAAACTTTTAGATGAGTAATGCAATTAGTTTGATCTCGAGTTTGGATGTGCATGTATTCTAGAAAAAATTAGTCTATTATTTAATGACTTCCTGGTTCATTTGAACATTTTTTTTCCTCATTCTTTAAAAAAGGTATCATTTTGATGTAAGGAGATGTTTATGTTGATGTTATGGAAATGTTCTGTGAAGAGAATATATGTGGAATCTTTTTGCTTGGGGATGGTTATATAAATGTGCTTGTAAGATAATGTAGAGCAAATCTTATGTGCTTGGTAACCATTTGACACAGGGAAGTTGAAGATTTTGCCCGCCGATTGAATTCCGACTGGCCAGAGAGGATGCAAGAACTTTTATCAACTGGACAAGAAAGGAAGACAATGCTTTTTACACCTAACGGAAATAGTTTTATACGGTGAAATTCTTGTATGTTTTTCCCTGTGTTTTTGAGTGATTTTACTTGTCTATTTGCTAGCTGAAGTTTAAATGTTTCTTTCTCTTACTGGAAAAGTTATTTGTATAATAATTTGTTTTGCATTAATTATCTTCCTTTTAAAATTAGCGTCTAAATTTAGTATGCTAGAGTTGATGACATGTATTTGGTGTTCTCCTTTTATTGTCTATTCAAACTTGTTTCCTTTCGATACTTATTTTATAGAAGTTAATCTGTTAGAATGCCTGTTGTGTAAAGTAAAATTACATCTTACCATGTCCTATCAACTTGTAGAACCATGATGCCTATCATTGCCAAAGAAACTTCTAATCTTACAACTGAACTGCAAGATTAATTTGGTAATCTTTTGGTCTGTTGTTATCTTCTTCAGTAGTGCTTGAATTTTTTTCACTTTTCAATATAGTAATAAAGCATTTTCTTTTGGTATTTTGGTAAAGCATGCTCAAAATGACAATTTTCCATTTCAACCAGTCATTTTCACTGTAATATGCACATCTCAATAAATATCTTTCTGTGTACAGGATTGCAACTTTGACGGGCTGGAGATGAGTGCCTAAAAGATTGCAAGCCTACCCAGATGACTAATGGCTTGAACAATTTTGGGAGATACTGACACATGCTACAAAATTGTTGCATGTCAGTTATTATCATTTTTCCCCTTACCTGTTTAAATTGATTCTTTGTTGTTCATTATTGGTGTTCAGCTCTGGTGTTATTTCTTGCTGGGGGCTTTCTCTTGTAAACTTATAGGAAGAAATAAAAAAGGTTCTGAGCTTGTGTGGACTATATGAGTCGTGTTCATTTGCTCTTTTGGTTGGTTCCTTTTTCTAGTTTTGATCTAAAGGCTCCTTTACCGTATGATTTGTGTAGTTTTAACCGAAACAGAAAAAAGAGTTACTCACAATTACTCGATCTGGCCATTAACAAACCATGTAAGAGTTCTCCTTTTTAATGTTATCATAATCCTCTTCGGGTGGTGTATCAATGCATTGATTGGGTGCTAATATAAAATTTTTACAGTGATAATGGATTGGAGAGGAGACAAAGAATCGTATCTTTGGACTATGAGGCTGATCCTGATACATATATAACCTTTCCATTTCCTGTAATTCCCCTTGCCTAGGTAATCCTCCTGATCATTTATGAACTTTATAGAGAGATCATTTGGAGGTGCTTTTGTATGTTGCTATCCAGTTGGAATTTAAGTTGCTGGTGAAAACTGAGATGATTCAGCACAGCAAACATATTTGATACATTATTAATTTCAAACATGGAATCATCTCCCAGAAACAGGAATTTAGTCATCATCACAAAAGTTTCAAATCACCCATCATCGTCATTTTCCAATCTCTCTCCATTGATTGAAAATTGCCCATGCCTATCATTCGGCTCACTTAAATACATAATTTTAGCCAAATCCTCGTGGAAGCAAAGATATAAAGGTCTACAAAAGAACATGCCCCTAAGAGACAAATCCGGAAACGGAATCTCTTGAATCTCCTCATCCCAGTCCATCTTCTATTTCAGAAAATATCCATTCTTACAGTGAACAGTTTTGCACGGGGTCCTCCAACATCTAACTGTTGTGGGGGGTATCTTGAGTCTCAGGTGCGGATTTTTTAAGTACATGCTATTATATCATTTGGCTATGACAAAGTTACAGATGTTACAATCTTCTAAGATTTGCTATAAGTCTCCTGTAAACTAACACCTAGGAAGCTATTCATGCTGGGGTTTACTGGTTTGTTGATTGATCCCCTTGGATGTGAGGGCAAGGTATTTTTGGTTCCCCTCTTGTCCATAAAACCTTGAGTTCACCTCTTTTCTTTCCTAATGACAAAAAGGTTCCTGCAATTACAGAAAAGGTTTCAAAAACTGGTGTTAGTTTTCAGGTCTAGTAAAAATAAAGTATGTCTATACCAAAGAAACATGGATAAAGTTTTGCATGACTTAGGCATTTCACAGCCAATGGAATATGGAATCGGTTAAAGTGTTCCTATTTGCACAATATTCAGTGTTTTTAATTCAACTTCAAGTAAGTTTGTCTAATAATTTACTAACCAAGTGTAAACGGGACTATATAAAGCAAAGCTGGTTGACCATGTCCATCCATCAAGTTCAAAGCCACGTAGGTGATAAGGAGACCTGCAGATCAAAAATCAAAGAACATGATGTAAAGACCAAACATGTAGTGATGCGAGATCACATAGTATAGTCACCTCCACATTTTCAGTCTAAGTAGGTCCAAACACTTCATAAAATTACTATTCTAACACATTCTATCTGATGAAAACTACACCCATATCAAACATTGCATACCTAAACCATAAGCAGTCATTGCCCACAAGAAGTATCCATCTCGAAGGTTCTTCTTTGCCAACCAATCATACCTGTGTAGTTAATCATGAGAAAAATCAGGTTCTTGAAGTAGGCTAGGCATAAAGCATTATTTTCATCCTTCCAAAATGTTTGTTATAAGGAAGATGAATAGAATTATTTAATGAGCGAGTTCCTATTCAACCTTAGTGAGAATGCAACTAGAAGCCCTGGTAAGATGATGTCCCCAAAACCAATGATGCTGTAGCCACCCCAGGGATCAAACAAACGTGGTATCTTGAGTAGCATTGGGATACCATCTTCTCCACTCCTATCACCTCGAGCTACCTGCAAAGAAGAGAAAACGTTGCATTAATTTAATGAGAAGAAAAGCATCATGTTTAATGGGATAAAAAATGCTCTGTGAAGAAAGATCCTTCCATGAAAACACTCACCACTATCATCACACTCTCATGGAACCACCATTTAGAGACAAACACCCAGAAGATGTCATATAGGAAGGCACAACTGAGAAGAACAGTTCCAACCTTACATAGAAAAATGAAAAATTAGTGTCTTTTTAATAATTTAAAAGATCAGTAATATACGGCAGATCCATATTTAATTGTTCCGCTGAAACGGAGGCCCCTTTATGAATCCCAAGCTTAATTTTCAAGATTTTGAAAAACAGCTCAAGTAGGAGATGGTGCAAAAGACAAGCTGAAGTATGAATAAACACCTTGAGATTTGGTATCCGCACAATCTGAAGAACTGTAATTATCAACGTGATACCCTGAAACATAAGCGATTGAAAAAATAGTTGATAAAACTAAGTTCACGTTATTATAAAACATAAACGGAAAAATTTTTAACAGGGGAAAGTAGTTTTAGTCATAAGAGAGAATTTGGAATAGCATGTACACGCAAAAGAAACAATAATAGGAAACATTGTAATAATAGCAATTGACCAAGAACAATCTACAATCAAGTAGGATTCATATGAAATGAAGCAGTTTTGTCATTGTTAAAGTAACATCCTTGTTTCTTGCATAGGAAGCAAAGGTTAGGAATCTGATCATTTGTTTATTGTTTTTCAGTTACCCAACAGTGAGCAATGTTCCTGATTGTTTTATTAATTTATTAAGTCCAATGATGTTGTATGATCTACATATCCGACCTCAGTTCCTCACCCGGTGAGATAAGAATATTGCTGTTCAGCTAACCAATAGAAAAGTTTTCCTCAAGAATCTTGGTTTATGACTTCATATCTAGATTTTTGTTTGTGAAACTCAACAATATGCTCCAGTTAGCATATTAATTATTGTCAGACCATACTCGTTTAAAAGCATTTTCAGTTTTACACCAGTAACATTCCAATGACTTGGAAGAAAATAGTGCCACATACAGCATGGGTACGACTCGAGATTACATCACACCCTTCTATATATATTTTTATATTAGTTAAAACTTCCAATAAAAAATTAACGAGCATAAAAAGGTATAAGAGAATATTCAACCAAAAAGAACAACTTAAGATAATAGAACTATTCTTACAAGAATATCTTGCCCGATCCAAGCAAAGGATACATGGCGATAAACTCCCCACAGGACAGCAAACACTATGCAGAAGGGAGTAATGGCAACTGTCAGATATGATACAGCACCAAAGAAGGGTACTTTCACAAATGTTTGTGCAGCATGTTGGAACCACCTGAAACTGTACAAATTTTGGTGTCAATTCCCTATAATTACAAGGGAATCAAGTTGAATGAACAATCTATCAAACAGTACATATATTGATTCTTGTAAAGCTGGCATGAAGAAGAAAAACCTTGACCATGCCGAATTTACATAAAATTCATTTTTTTTGCAGTGTTTACAAGGAAATATATCACTCAGTTGCCAAATTTGGTGTACAGGATTGCCAGTTTAACTATTCAATGCTATATATGACAGGGTGGCCACTGACCACTTAGTCAATTATTGAGCCGTCTAATTTGCTACCCTCCTACCATTTATAACAATCAAATTAGTTAATCATTATTTAACTCAAAAAAAGTTAACAAATGACAACCACAAATTCAAACAATAAGGAAACAAGGATGAAAGACTTACCATGATAACAGAGCCACCAAGCAAGTTTGTAGTCCCTGAAAGCACATGGTGAATAAAGTTTCATTCAGGTTCTATATAATAACATCACGTTGCAAATTGCAATCCTATGAAGCACAAGATACAGACATGAAAATTCGGTAAATTTTAAAAATTAGAAGACACGACATGGCTATAATATAGTGTATAAACTTAATCTAAAGTTACAACTAAAATTTAATCATGAAGAATGAGCACAAGTAATTATAGGCATGATAAAGTATAAAAACTTATCTAATTGAGGTATTCAGACCAATATTGGTATAGAAGTTAATGAGTATAAAAATTATAAAAATGCGATTAAAAGTATCCAAATTGTCCAATTAAAAACTATAAAAGATAATTATGTCTGGATTGATGGAAAGGGATGAAATGGAGCAGAGGCAGAACAGGATTGAATACAGTATATTCCATCATTCCACCCAATACCCCATTTTTTCTCCAGTTTGGGGGGTATGAGACGGAACCATCTTTTCTTCTTCTTTTTACCCATACCTCCATCATATTTTACTCTCATTAGATATCCTGACATAGGCATATCAACCTCTCTTCAAGTCTAACAAAGAAACATTTGTAAAGAGGATATGAGCAGAATACCACAGAGAAGACTTCAAAAATATGGATGGGGAATTGGGTAGATGTGAAGGAAGCAAAATGTTGCTTAGGATACACATGTGGAAATAACTACCCAAGATATTTCGCAAGTCATACAGAAGATGTAAAACGAAGATGAGAAAAGTTAAAGAATCGAGCTTGGAAAAATGATAACTCACCTCAACCCCACCAATGCAAAACAGAACCACCAGAACTTCAACAAACCATGATGCCATTAATTTGTAAAGCATAACCAAGAAACAAGAAGCAATCACAACAAATGATATCGCTGCTGCAGTACTGATTTCCACATAAGCTCTAGAACCAGCATTCTCTGCATTTACATATTCATCTGAAACATCCTGCAATATAAATATGATATATACGTTAGTAACTGGATTAATGACTTTTTCTCTTAATTTGAGAAGAAAGCTTCGTTTACAAAGAACAAAAATTAGTTCATTTCAAAACGAGAATAATCTTGTGTTGAGGAAACTCCATGCCAATTCTGTAAGGAACACAAGCACTCCGTTGTTTTAACGAGCTAGTTTCCTTCCAGAATTTCTTCTGTGTCTTTGTTAACTTTTGTCTTCCTTCTTTCTCGCACCAAAATAATATTTGCCTTGTACAAGGAAAAATGGATAAAATTGGCATGAATGGAACTAGGTAACCTTTAGCAGCTTCTCCTGCTCAATGGCGGACTCCCTCGCAGTCCAGGCAGACCAGTAAGAAGCACAGAGAATAGTACCAACAGCCATAAGCCATAAAAACACTTCTGCAACATCAACCAATGGACGGTATGGAGAGTACAACTGCACAGACACTAGAGAGCAAAGAATTGCAAGGAATAATCAGATCAAGAATCAAAACATAAAGTAGCTAATTCAAATTTTCGTCTGCAAAGGAAAACCTTTTACAAAAAGAATAGGCACATAATCACAGAGGAAGTGATACATACCTACTGAGTTTTTCAGTATGTGATTTTCCAAGTTCTCACCAGCATCTTGTGGAAGCATGACAGCAGGTATTCCAATATCAACATCAGTTTCATTTGCTTCACAA